GCATATAGATTTTCATAGTATTCTCTAATAATTCTTTGTATTTCTGTGGTGTCTGTCATGATTTTTCCTTTCTCATTTCTGATTCTCTTTATGTGTGTAGATTCTCTTTTACTCTTAATAAGTCTGGCTAGGGGTTTATCTATTTTGTTTATTTTTTCAAAGAACCAGCCCTTGGTTTCATTAATTTTTTCTACTGTTCTTTTCTTCTCAATTTTATTTATTTCTTCTTTGATCTTTATTATGTCGCTCCTTCTGCTGACATTGGGCCTCATTTGTTCTTTCTCCAGTTTCAATAATTGTCACTTTATTCATTTGGGATTGTTCTTCCTTTAAATAGACTTAGATTGCTATATACTTTCCTCTTAGAACTGCCTTCACTGCGTCCCACAGAAGTTGGGGCTTTGTGTTGTTGTTTTCATTTGTCTCCATATATTGCTCAATCTCTGTTTTAATTTGGGCATTGATCCATTGATTATTTAGGAGCATGTTGTTCAGCCTCCATGTGTTTTTGAGGCTTTTTGTTTTCTTTATACAATTTAGTTCTAGTTATATACCTTTGTGGTCTGAGAAGTTGGTTAGTAGAATGTCAATCTTTTTGAATTTACTGAGGCTCTTTTTGTGGTCTAGTATGTGGTCTATTCTTGAAAATGTTCCATGTGCACTTCAGAAGAATGTGTATCCTGCTGCTTTTGGTGTAGAGTTCTGTAGATGTCTGTTAGGTCTATCTGTTCTAGTGTGTTGTTCAGTGCCTCTGTGTCCTTACTTATTTTCTATCTGGTGGATCTGTCCTTTGGAGTGAGTGGTGTGTTGAAGTCTCCTAAAATGAATGCATTGCACTCTATTTCCTCCTTTGATTCTATTAGTATTTGTTTCACATATGACGGTGCTCCTGTGTTGGGTTCATATATATTTATAATGGTTATATCCTCTTGTTGGGCTGACCCCTTTATCATTATGTAATGTCCTTCTTTATCTCTTGTTACTTTCTTTGTTTTGAAGTCTATTTTTTGTCTGATACAAGTACTGCAACACCTGCTTTTTTCTCCCTATTGTTTGCATGAAATATCTTTTTCCATCCTTTCACTTTTAGTCTGTGTATGTCTTTGGGTTTGAGGTGAGTCTCTTGTAAGTAGCATATAGATTGGTCTTGCTTTTTCATTCATTCTATTACTCTGCATCTTTTGATTGGTGCATTCAGTCCATTTACATTTAGGGTGATTATTGATAGATATGTACTTACTGCCATTGCAGGCTTTGGATTTGTGCTTACCAAAGGTTCAAGGGTAGCTTCTTTACTATCTAACCATCTAACTTTAACTCCCTTATTTTGCTATTATAAACACAATCTGATGATTCTTTATTTCTCTCCCTTCTTCTTCTTCTTCCTCCTCCACTCTTTATATGTGGGTGTTTTATTCTGTACTCTTTTTGTTTCCCTTGAGTGCTTTTGTGGATAGCTGATTTTCTTTTTTGCCTTTAGTTAGTATTTTATTTTTTGCCTTAAGTCTGCTTTCTTTGCTGTGATTTTATTTTCTCTGGTGACATCTATTTAGCCTTAGGAATACTTCCAGCTAGATCAGTCCCTTTAAAATACCCTGTAGTGGTGGTTTGTGGGAGGTAAACGCCCTCATCTTTTGCCTATCTGGAAATTGTTTAATCCCTCCTCCAAATTTAAATAATAATCTTGCTGGATATAGTATTCTTGGTTCAAGACCCTTCTGTTTCATTGCATTAAATATATCATGTCATTCTCTTCTGGCCTATAAGGTTTCTGTTGAGAAATCTGATGATAGCCTGATGGGTTTTCCTTTGTAGATGAATTTTTTTCTCTCTCTGGCTGCTTTTAATACCCTGTCTTTGTCTTTGATCTTTGCCATTTTAATTATTATATGTCTTGGTGTTGCCCTCCTTGGGTCCCTCGTGTTGGGAGATCTGTGGGCTTAACATAGTCTGAGAGACTATTTCCTTTCCCAGCTTGGGGACATTTACAGCAATTATTTCTTCAAGACACTTTCTATCCCTTTTTCTCTTTCTTCTTCTTCTGGTATCCCTAGAATGCGAATATTGTTCCGTTTGGATGGTCACACAGTTCTCTTAATATTCTTTCATTCCTAGAGATTCAATGACCTGTTTTGTTTTTCATTCTAGCACTTACTACTTCTTGACAGTTGACCATCATTTATTTATTTGTTTGACTGCTTATTTAGTTAACTGTCTCTCCTCCCTGGAATATAAGCTTCATAGAAGCAGTAACTTTTCACACTTTATTTTACTGCTACACCCTTGCACCTAGAATAGCCTTGCACACACTTGCTAAATGGATATTTAATAACTACTTAAGAAGATAATGCAGATTTACAGACAGAAAATATATCAATCCATCCACCTATCTCTGGATGGTGGTGTAAGAGTGACTTCATTTTCTTTTTTTTTCTTTTCATCCTGTATTCTCTAAATTTTCTACAAAAAGATATTTTTCATAAAAATTGCTAAATTGATAGCTTAAATCTAATTAGAATGGGAAAATTCATATCTGAATGAGATAATTACACCCACTGTCAAAAGGGTTTTCATGTCTTATATTTAGACGTAAACTTGAGTTCCCAGTAATAGGTTAACTGGCAATGTATGCATATGAATTAATGCACATCTCACTTGAACTATGCTGTTGAAACAGTACCACAGTTAAGATCAGTAGTTCTTAACCAGACATTATCCCAACTTATTAAACACAAAATTCTTTTTTTCTGATGTAGTGACAATCCCATGGAATTACTACTATGTTCCCATTATTTAGAAGCCAGTGAGGTATTTGAAAGTATGTAATTCTGCCAGATTTAGGAGACAGACTTGAATAATGACAGAAAGACAAACCTGGAGACAGGAAGAACAGTTAGAAAGTCATTAGAGTGGTCTAGGAAGGAGATAATGAGGGTCTGAACTAAATGGATTGGTGTTAGGGGTAGTAGAAATAGCTAGTAAATGGAATAAATTAAAAACAAAGACCATTTAGGAAGTAGTCTCAGGACTCCAGGAGGACAGATTAGAGAAGAAAATCTTCCCAAAACAGGGCAGAATTTCATGACGGCACTAAGAGTGAATTTGGAGAACTGCTTGACTTATGGCTAAACCACTGGAAAATAAGGATCTGCCTAAGTAAGACCAGTTAAGAATAAGATAGGTGCTTCAGAAAAGGATAATCTGAATATCAAATATCAAAAGATAAGAGATACCTTTTAGAATATGATGAAATCTAAATATTTTTGCAAAAGTGATCTTTATGATCATGAAGTGAAGGATGTCATGTTATGAAAAAAATATGGGCAAATTACATCATAATAAACAACTAAATATATTTGAATCCTAGTTTTTAAAGAATTTATATTGTACTTTCATAAACTTTATTAAATATAAGATAAAATTAACTATTTCTGTAATGTTTAGTTTCATTATTTAATACAAAAACCAATCAGACCTTTTTTTCTTCATTATTTACTGAAAAATTTTATTTCATGTTTTAAGTGGACTCACTTTAAGTGGGCTTTTCTAGTACCAATTATTCTTGACCAACAAGGAGCTGCCATAATGAAAAGCCTCAGAGGTTACTCATGAAGAGACTATGCAGAATAAGAACAGTCAGTTGAGGAAAGAATTCCAAAGAACACTTGAAGCCCAAGAGAAGGAGCCCTGAAGGATATATGGAGAAGAAACGGAAGGATGATGCATTCACTGATTCTCAGAGCAACCCCGTCCATTTTTTACAATTTACTTTTTGGTGAACTTTTCTTTATATGTGGGTGAAATCTACCTCTGAAATACTCTGCCCCTCATTCCAGCTACTGGAACAGAATAGAACAAATCTAATCTTTTTTAAAAAATATAGTAGCTCTTTAAATGCTAGAAACAGTCATCCTAATAATAATGAAAGCTCCAATTTGACCGAGTAATAATGTGTGCTGAGAGGAGTACAAGAGAGGTTGGGCAATTTGTCCAAAGCTAACCCAAAGCCCAGGTTCTCTCCGCTATGCTATATCCTCTATTCCTCTACGTTTTCTAATCTTTAAATTAAACAGCCTCCTTACTCCCTACCTCTAATCTTGCTCTTTCCTAATTCAGTCTCTAAATAGCTGCCAGCGTAATTTTTTCTGAAACCCAAATCTGATCAATTGATTCCTACTGCTTAACGTAAACAGGTTTCTAACACGCTTAGGCTACACAAACTCCTTAATACGGTTTAGAAGCCCTTTGTGATGTGGCCCTTTCTTCTCTTTCCAATTTCATCTCCCACAGCAACTCCCCCAAACCTCTATGAATCTCATCCCTCTCTCTCCAACCCACATGCTAATATCTAGTTGTATTTACTATCATTTCCTGGAATGTGATATTTTTTTTATTCAGAAGCTTTGTAAATGCTGTTTCCTCTGTATGGAACACTCTACCCACCCTGCTCCCTCCACTTTTGCTCAGCTACCTTCTCTTATCCCTCAGGCCTCAGTAAGAAGTCACTTGCTCCATGAAGCCTTCTTTGACACCCAAGTCTAGGTTTGCTGTCCCTTATGTATTTCTATAGTACCCTATCTATTACTATCTTTCAACACTGTCTTAAGACTCCTCAGGTCTTATTCAAGTATCTAGATTTCTGCCACCAGCAAAAAAAATATCACGCTAACCAAATAGCACAGAGTACAATGGAACACCTGTGCATGAAGGCTTTTACTATTACCTGGATAAAATAAGGTAGGTTTATTGCCCCCTGCAAAGAAATGAAATTTTTAAGACTTATATTTTAAGGACTTCTCAAAGAGCTTCTAAAATTGACTTAAAACTATTGATAGAGACATCTTTTAAGCAGACTTTGAGCATTATCATTCTAATTTCATTCAAATGTCTTTAAATATCATTAAAATTCCTATTCAGTTTTATTATAACCTTACCATATGTGCCAGAAGAAAGAAAGCAGCAAATACAATACAACTTCTGAAAGCCACAAACTCACTCACCTGAAACCCCACAGTGAGAGTGATCATACAGATGCTGCTGCTGAAGGGTAGACTTTTTGTAAATAACATGAGGATGACCACTTTCATAACTAAAATGTTTGGAATCTTCTGTGGTATTCTTTAATGGTTCAATAAAGTATTCTTCATCTTCTGTAGCAATAACACCATGCTAAAAGTAAAGGAAATAAAGAATTTACCAAGAAGAATAATAGTACTAGTAATTATTATTACCAACAGTTTGAAAATAAATTAATACCTCTCTAAAAAGGAGATTAAAACACATTTAAAAGAAATTTAGTGAATTGTCTGTACTCAGCAGAACATTACGTTTTTCTATTCCTTTAAAATGAAGTTTAAATACCTTCACATGCTATGGCCTTTACAAACCTGACACATACATTATTTCCTCCAATCTTCCCAACAACTCTATGCAGTAGCAGATACCTCTGTGTGTTCACTAAGACTTACTTCTTTCCAAATTGTGCATGCAACTACATCCTCTGTGTTTAGGTATAGCTTTATAATGGAGTTTTGGCCAATAGAAAATGGGCAGAGTGCTATATATCATCTTTAGGCCCAGAAAGCCCTCCAGTGGAATTCATCACTGTCCCTAAAAAGACCTAGGGGAGGTGAAAGCCAAAAGGAAGGAATCTGGGTCCCTGAGTGACCTCATGGAACGTTATCCAACACAGACATTGATATAAGGAAAAAATAAACTTCCATTGTGATAAACTACTGACATTTTAAGGTTTATGTTACACTAATTAATGTGTCCTTAATTAATAAACATCCCATATATCCCCATTTTGCAGATGAAGTGACAAGCTCAGAGGTTAAGAATTTGCCCGATATGATAGAGGGGGAAGTGAAGGAGCTGGAGTTCACCCAAAGCTCTGTTCTTAGTCACAGTGTTATATTGCCTTATACCTATTTACTTAGCCAAGTTCTGTTTGGCTCAGTCATAATTCCTCTTTAAAACATTCTCTAGCCCAACTGGAGTAGTTTCACCCTTCTCTGAGCTTCAATGGAGCTATTTATTGGTATCATTTATTTTTAGTTAATTCTACACTGCTTTGCTTTCTCAAGTCTTGGAGCTGTATTTAAATTTGGTGTGACTTTCCAACTGCATGTTCTATCTTCCCAGCTATACTATTTGCTTTGGTAAGGCAAAGGATTATGTCTCATATTTCTCTGTATCAGTTACAGCCACAGAAAGTGTCTCATATGTAGTATGTACAGCAAGTTTGCTGATTCAAAGAAATGACACAGTAAAAGTTATCTGCATCAGATAATATCTGCATCCTTCTCTAATAGTGTTTTCCTAAGTATCGCACATGTGAAGACGTTCTTAATCCAACTAATTTAACACTGGATAAAACATAAACTCTCTGGGTGTATTTCCTCAGCTGGAAAAACGAAAGGGTTGATGTAAATTCGTGTTTTTAAAACAGCACCCCGGGGAGCCCTAAGGGTTCCACGGAAGTGCCCTCAGGGGACTGCCCGAGACAACAAAGGGAGACCTACATGGCTTGGATTCCTGAGTTTAGGAATCAGCTGTGCTTTTATTAACCTATATATTAAGTTTCCATATAACATTTCATTTGAGAAAAGGGCTTTGCTGCTTTAGAAAGAAAAAAAGCTGAAAAGGCTTTGGTCCAGATAATCTCTAAGGTCCCTTTGACTCTAAACCTCTCTGATTCTGTTTAGGGAAATTCATGTTAAATACCACATGCCTGGAAAGAAAGATAAGACATCATCAGAGCTGCTCTAATTTATAAATGAAGTTGACAGCCACCTACACGAAATGAGCTAGGGAATGCAAAAAACAAAAAAGAAGCTCTTAGTTACTTCATATTTTTTTCACCATTGTTTGTTTTACTTTAAGGATATTAGTCCCCAAATTAAAAGCAAATAGTGACAGGAATAAAACAATATGCCATTAACAAACTCTAATTCCTGAGCATGAATTACTTCACCAGGAAGATGAACAATGTGACAGCAAACTGGGGATGATTCTTGCAGAAAAGAAGGCATGTATAAGAAGTTTTGACAAGAACAAAATGCAGAAAGTGAAGTCCAGAGTACTGCACAGAAAGGCAGAGAACTAAGGTTAGTCATGCTGGACTATGGGCAGAAGATTGCTGAGCAGTCCCGGACATGAAACTCTAGTTGCTGGGGAAGGATAGAGTCAGAAGCCTGGTAAGTAAACAGAATCTCTAATTTCAAGTATGGAAAGACCCAGGAAAAAAATCCAGAGATCTTATGTGTTGGGTAGTCTGTAAAATGTTTACACACAGTACCTTATTTAATCTTAATAGTTCTTTGAAGTAAGTACTACTATAAGTAACAAACTCATTCAATTGAGTTTGGAGCCTAGACTCTTAGCCATTACACTAAAATTCCCTTATCCTTGCAGGTTGTTTCTGACTTTATTTATTCATTCACCAATTACATTTCAAGTGCCTATCACATGGCAGGTTCTAGGTAGTGAGAATACAATAGTGAACAGAACAAAGTTCTGGCTTTCTTACGGAGCTTACATCCTGGTGGGAGGAGGTAGAAGAAGGTAATTCATTCATTAGATGAATGATCAATCATGGAGTAATAAATGTGAAGAAGAAAAAGAATGCAGTATAAGAGGACAGGGAGTTATCAGAAGTGAGGGAATTACACAAACTAGATGGTTGGGGACATCCTCTTTAATAAGGTGATTATTTGAACAGAAACCCAAATAAGTGAAGGAGCAAGCCGAACAAGGTATCTTGAAAAAGAGCAGATTAGATAGTGGGAGTAGCAAATGCAAACGCAGTGGGCTAAGAGCATACATGCATTATCTGAGAAACAATAGGGAGCTACTGCATCTAGAGAGACAAAAGGAGAAAATGATTATGAACTGGAAAGGTATTGAAGGCCAGATGATGGAAGACCTGAATTAAGCGGGAATTGCAGAAATCTGTGCATCCCTAGCAAGAGTCATGCTTTCCCTTCCCTCAGCATCCCCAGTCATCTCTCCACTGTCTGCCCCAGGACCTTCCAGATTAATCTCATAATGTTCCCTTTCCTCTCATGTCAGTTCCTAGAAGAAGCCCAAGACCCACCCCTTCAATTCTATTCCCCATGTGGTTATGTATATCATGTCTTCTGATCTCATCACCTATTTCCCCCCTTCACCCTTTAAAAAATTTCTACTGTGCCATCTCAAACTCAAGATCAACAGTCATCAAATCTCCTATAACCTCAGCCTCTTCTGTGAATGTTCTCTTCATCTTGCTCAGACAAAAACCTGAATCTCCCTAAATGATACTCTTCCCTCTAGTCCTCTGGAATCCTGGCTGCTTTCTCTCCTACACGCCTCCTATGGGACCTAGAGGTAGGGCAAGTGTCCTTGTGACTCAAGGCCATTTCCAACAATTCTCCCTCTCCCCACTTCACCTACAAAAAAAAAAAAAAAAAGCAAAAAACAAGAAACAAGAAACAAAAAATACCCACCAGTCCAAATCTCCACACCCTTACCTTTCCCCTCTGCTAGTTGCAGTTGTCTACTACTGACCCAGAGTCACTTTCCTCATTCCTTAAAGATTTTAGCCTCTGGATCACTGTCGGTCTCTGAAATACCATTCCTGAAATAACTATTGATTTCAGTATCTTTTTATACCATCGTTTCTTAAAATGCACATGTGTGTACTGGTGGCCTGGATCCCTTTAGAAGTCTAGGGATGAGGCCAAGATTGGTTGAATAATATTTTAAATGCAGAGAAAAATATATAAGACTATAAATAAAATCCAATTGTAACAAAATACTGTTATCAAAATACTTTTAGGTGTAGTACAGAAAACATATGACTCTTTGAAACACTTTACATAAGAAGATCTATAGTGGATCTAATGACTACCATAATCTCACAATAATGATGAATATAAATAATATTATCAAGAACCTGGAAAAAAAGCCCTATATAACATGACATGAAAATATCTGTAATTTCCACTGGGGACAAAGTCATAGCTACTGACTGCTATTACTTTATTGGTTTATTACCTAAATTCACAATTGAAGGAAATGTTCAATTTCAGCTAAGAATTGGTAAAGATAAAGATGTATTGTTTCCCCTTTCCAGTTCACAAACCCCCTGAATTCCATCCCCCAGGTTAGGAACTACTGACATAGACAGTTTCTTCAGTACCTGTATCTTGTCCTTCGCCTTACTGTAGACATTCAGACTAACAGTCAAACCCTAGACTCAACATCTGCAACACTATCATAATCTCAATTCCAAGTATCCCATTCTTCTGTCTTTCTAGTACTTTCCCTCTAGTATCCCAGTTCCAAGAAAGACCTTTTATGCCCACCAAGACCCACTGATCCTGTTGCTTTTTCATTGTCCTCCACCCACTTGATGTCTTTACTTCCCTTCTAACCCATGTTCAATTCCTTTGTTTTTTTTTCGCCTTTCATGGAATTTATTTGGCTAAACCACACCCTGATTAAATTCAGTTTTACTCTTCTGGGTCTGCACTCTCGCAGCTTTATTTAGCCAGAGAGAACTACACCAAGATGCTGCCTATTCTCACTTTACATTCATCATCACAATCTCACCTGTCCTCTTAATGCTTCATGAAAATTATACTATATGTCTCTAGTTCATTCAATATCCCACTCTCCTGGATAAATAATCTGTACTTTCACTTCTCTTCTTAAACCCATAATACTTCATTTTTCCATCTTCATTCCAAAAGACATTACACAACCTCCTACAAACTCCTACAACCACAAATGCCCACCTACCAGCATCTCATGTCTATATAATACAATTTTATTTCCTATTATCATGGATGAACTGTCTATTCTCCTAGCTAAAGATAATTATTCTATTTATGCAGATGATTTCATCCCTTCTCACCTACCAAGGACATCACTACAGAAATTTCCTTTCTCTCTACATAATCATTCCCATCTCTATCAAAAACAAAAACAAAACTTCTCTGACCCTTAATTCTGCCTGCAGCAACTCATCATTTCTTGCTTTTACAAAAGTCTTTAAAATAACTGTCTACATACACTTTCTTTTCTCCCATTCCTTCTTAAACCTCTCCAATCAGGTTTTTGCTTCTTTTCCAAACCACACCATGACTTCACCAAAACTGTTCTTATCAAGGTCAACAATAACC